TCTCCCTTCACCACTCTCTTTCCCATAATGTGAACCACAGAAAGCAAATCCTCCAGTTTTGATTCGCAGACCGAGTGGTTCGAACACTATGGCAACCATAATGGCCTCCCCATGTCTCCAAAATAGAGCTTGGTGTCTCTCTCATACACTCCCTAAAGGTAGGACGCTTGTCCATCTGTCTTGTTCTCTCTAATATACCCAGCCTGGAGCACAGTGTCTGGTACCTAGCAGGACCTTCCTAAATGCTTACTCAATGTTATGGTAGTATTCTCCAGGTAAATATTCTTCACGTGTCCAGAGGTTGGCCAGAGCCTCTGCCCTATCCCTGATATGCACAGAGACTGTGTCTTCCCTTTTGCTTTCATTAGGTCCTGGTGGGAAGGGTCATATCAATTAGGACTTCCATGACAGGTGGTCACCGTCTTCCTTACCAGAATCCATGTCTTTTTTTTTCCCTCCAATTTTTATTCATTTATTTTTGTTACAGATGTTTCTCCTTTTTACCCCTAGACACCCTCCTCCCCATACCCGCCCCCCCCCCAGCATTGTTGTCTATGTCCACTGGTTATGCACACATGCATATAAGTTCTTTGGTTCATCTCAACCATCCCCCTAACCCCCCTACTCTGAGGTTTGTCAGTCTGAACCATACTCCTTTCTATTATCTCTAGGTCTGTTCCATTCATCAGCCCACCTTGTTCATTATATTCTACAAATAAGTGAGATCATGTGGTATTTGTCTTTCTCTGATTGGCTTATTTCACTTAGCATAATACTCTTGAGGTCCCTCCATGTCATCTCAAAGGGCAAGAGATTGTACTTTCTTACAGTGGCATAGTATTCCAATGTGTACATGTAGCACAGCTTTTTTATCCACTCATCTATTGATGGACACTTGGGCTATTTCCAGATCTTAGCGATTGTAAATAGTGAGAAGCCATGTCTTCATTAAGACTTCATAGTTTTACAGTAGGGCAGTAAAAACTCAATTTCTTGCCTGAGGTGAGCGGGGCCACACAAAGTATTTCCCAGTTGGCCACCATCCTTCTGAAGATTTCTTTCACTTTGGACTTGGAGCAGCCCTGCCTGTTATCCCCTCTCCCTATGAAAGAGGAAGTTGGATTTCTCGCCAGGCCCTTTCCTCTGCACTGGCTTTTTGGCTTTGCTTGGCTGCTTTCGGATTTTAGCTGAGCAGAAGGAACTTTCCCCACTTATTTTCCCAAGGAGTGAGCTCCTGCTCCTAATCAGTCCTACCTCCCTCCCCCACTGCATAGCACGACCTACAACAATTAGGGGCTCACTTAGAGGTTTATTGGTGAAAGTTTAGAGCCCCTTGTTTTAAATACCATCTTACTTCTCCCATGGTCACTTGGCCCACAGTGGGAAAACAGCATTGTAGGAGGTTGTAGCCAGTGCACTGACTAAAGCTGGGAAGACCAGCCTGTTTGGCTAGGTGTCAGGCTCCCAGCAAGTTCTCTCCTTCAGGAACTGGCTACAGGAGCTGGCCGGAAGTACTCGGAAGTACTCGTCTAGATGCTCTTGTTCCCAGAGGCTGTGGCCTAAAGCGGTTCTCATGGATACACTCAAGATGACTGGAGAAGCCACAGCAAGGGTGTCTTGTTGGAGCTGTTGGAATAGTTGATTTCAGCTGGCAGTATCTGTGTTTCTGTTGGAATCCAGGAATTTGGGGTCATTGAAAACAATAGAAGAAAAAGAAAGCATTGTTAAAATTTCGATTTAATAAATGCTTCTTAATTATGTCTTTTCAAGCATAAGTGCCTTTCACACAGATGTAAATATGGAAATGATCGGCAGTGTCTAAGAATGACTTCAGTGGAGAAAGCCAAGCAGGAGGCAGGCTGGAGCTAGGGCTGCTCTGCTGCAGTGGGACAGACACCCCCTGAACCCCAAGCTCTGCTCTGGTGTGTTGAGAACCCAATATGTTATGACTCAAAGGCAAAACCTGAACCCACGGGGATCAGCCTGACACCCACTATAACCTACCTGGGGTCAGCAGGCATACAAAGAAAACCTTCAGACGGTTCTCCAAAACAATAACAACTTAAAAAAAAACCCAACCACTTAATGTGTCTAGAAAAACACACAGTGTGGCTAAAATGTTGTAAAATTTTGATTCCAAGGGAAATACGTACGTATTTTAAATGAAAACTATAAAAAAGTACCAAAAACAAAAACAAAAAAACAAACAAACAAAAAACACCCCACCCCTTACACTGTTAACTATTCAGAGATAAATGCAGTGAGGTTTTTCTTTTTAAAGTGAAAATAATTTGAGAGTTGCTAGAGACTGGCAATGTAGCTGAATAATCTAATTAAAAACAACTCTTTGCCATAAAACACCCAGAAATTTAGATAAAAAGTAAAGAAAAATCCTAGGGGTCAAAAATTAAAGACCAGAGAAATATGAACTGAAGCTAGGATCGCCCAAGGGACTTGCTAATCTTGGTAACCAGGGTTTGGTGACAGAGGAGATAAAATCTTGGGCCCTCGCCAGGTGGGGAGTTTACTGAGGTATTTGTACAAATCCAGGACTTTCAAAGCACCTTCTCGGCAAAAGGGTACACCAGAAAGAAATTCATCTAGTGCCACAAACTTATCAATATCAACCTGGATTCTGGGTCAAAAAGGAAGCCTCTTTGGAAAATTCTGATCTTTGGGCCTATCCTTATGCTGGTTTGAGGTCTGACACACGGTCCAAGAACTCCCAAGCTGAGAGACTAATATAAAAAATGTCTCCTGCCCAGCCTGTGTGGCTCAGTGGATTGAATGTCCTCCCATGGACTGAGAGGTCCTGGTTAGATTCCCTGTCAGGGCACATGCCCGGGTTATGGGCTCACTTCTCAGTAGGGGTGTGCAGGAGGCAGTTGATCCATGTTTCTCTCTTAATATCTCTGAGGCATCTGGCAGAAGCAAACTTAAAATGGTTCTTTGGGGCATCCCCCATCCCCAATCCAGGCAACATAAGTCCAACAGATAAAGGCCTGTTTGAGATAAAAGTGACAGCTACAGATAGCGCCAAGGCCCACCCGGTATCCGTATCTGTGTGGGAGGAAGCAGAGAGAGGCAACAAGACATCTGACACACTTGAAAACAGGAGAGCTTCTAAATCTCCCACAGAGTCTCAGTGGCACGTGCAGCAGGCCAATCTGAGAAGAAGAAAACTGGAAGTAGGAAACTGGGGCCGAGTCTGAAGGGGCTGGAGTAGGATGTGCCTTATGAACTCTCAAAACCATCAGAATACTCTCCCTTGCAGAACACAGCCTCACAGTAGGGGAAAAACGCTGGAAATGGAATCCAAATTGAGTATTACAGGAACGATAGAGCCCAAGGAAACCTGGCTGATTTGGCTCAGCGGTTAGAGCACTGACCCACGAACCAAAGGGTCATGGGTTTGATTCTGGTTAAGGGCATAAACCTGGGTTGCAGGTTCAATCCCTGACCCCAGTCCTATTATGCAGGAGGCAGCCAATCGATGTGTCTCTCTCACATTGAAGTTTCTCTGGCTCGCTCTCTCTCTCCCTCACTTCCACTCTATCTAAAAATCAATGGAAAAATATCCTCAGATGAGGATTAGCTGAGAGAGAGAGAGAGAGAGAGGGAGCCAAAGGAAAGAGCAAGGTCAGCTAAAGATAAGGGAGAGGAACATTTCCCAAGGTCATTAACGCTTCACAAAAATGACACCAAAGGGAGCACTAGAGCCAAAACCAGAAAGCTACCGTGGCCCATCTGTTATTCTCAAAAGTTCAGAAAAACCATTTCACATAAAAATAAATTGCATCAGAAAAGGATCAAAATCAAACCCCACACAGAATCATATAAGAAAAAATATGGCCCGCTGGTGTGGCTCAGTGGTTGAGCATTGACCCGTGTACCAAGAGGTCGCTGGTTCAATTCCCGGTCAGGGCCCAGGCCCAGGTTGTGGGCTGGTCCCCAGTGAGGGGCATGCAAGAGGTGAACAATTGATGTTCTCTCTCTCAAATCAATAAAGAAAAAAAAAATAAATAAAATAATAAAAATAAAGAGACCAAAGGACATTTTGTATTCTTTTAAAAAACTTTTTTTTTCTTTATTGATGTTAGAGAGAGAGGTAAGGAGAGGGAGAGAGAGATGGAAATATTGATGAAAGAGAACACTGATTGGCCGCCTCCCGCATGCCCACCACTGGGGATCAGGCCCATAACCTGGGCATGTGCCCTGACCGGGAATCGAACCGGTGACCTCTTGGTGCGTGGGTTGACGCTCAACCACTGAGCCACACCAGCCAGGCAGGACCTTTTATATTATAAGAGGGAGTCCATATGCTATGGGGCCTGCCCAGAGTACCAGCTTTGACTCAGAGCAAGAGGAAGATTTCTCCCACTGAAAAAATTATAAAGGAAGACAAAAATAAATTTGCATTTACATGGCATCCAAAAGTTGAACTTTTGGCTGCGCGGTCTTGCTTTGGGTTTCTATCACTCATTATAGAAGAAAGCTACTACAGCTACCCAGTAAATTAGGAAAACTTTGAAGCCAGCAGTGGTCGTCCCTCTGGGTTACTGACTCTTCCATTTTACAGAAGAGATAGATGAGGCAAAGAGAACTCAGGATTGTCTTACTCAAGGGACCCTTGTGAATTGGGAATGGAGACAGTTAATGTCTAACTCCACGAACCTGCTTTATTAGCTTACCCTCATCCCCTCTACAGAGCATCTTCCATATGAAAACGCTGGGGTCTTCCTAGAATATTCAGATCACAGACCCTGTTTTCAAGGACAGGCTTACAATAACATTAAGGGGAAAGTCACATGTATAACTGTCTAGAATACAAAGAAAAGGGGAGCAGGAGGTCAATGGGGGAAAAAAAGAAACATTTGTAACAAGAATGAATTAATAATAATAAAAAAAAAGAGCTGCAATAGATTGGCAGAAGGTGTCACTAACCCCACCCACGGCTTTGCGCTGTGGGAAGGGGTGCTGGAGCTGCCCGGACGGAGGACTCACCTGTCTGCTGTGAGCTGGGACCTTCCTGAGAAATGTGAGAAACTATCACTGGTCTGCTTGGTTTCCAACAGCATGAAGCTTTCACTGGGCTGGGAGGATAACAGGAGGCTGCTTTCAGGCTGCATGGAGAAATTTATAGTCAGATGACCAGGTCTGCTCCCTGATATTTCTTGGCCTTCTCTGGCCAGAACATTGAAGGAACTCACTTGAGTCTTCCAGCCTAGTCCTGGGAACCTGTTCCTTAAACATTAAGCCCCAGAATTACCAGACAAAACAAGGTCCCAGAAAGGATCACCTCCTCTCTCTGGTGGGCTTCTGTGTATACTTTGCTCAAGCACCAGCTCTGAAGGTTAAGAATCAGAGCAGTAGAACTATTAAAACTGACTTTGCTGTTGTTGTTGATCCTCACCTGAGGATATTTTTCCATTGATTTTTTTTTTTTTATCCTCACCCGAGGACATTTTTCCATTTTTTGTTCAGGTAGAGTGGGAGGGAGAGAGAGGAACAGAGAGAGAGAGAGAAACATCGACGTGAAAGGGACACATCGAGTGGCTGCCACCCGCACGACCAACCGGGGCCTGGGACAAACTGCAACCGAGGTACATGCCCTTAGCGGGAACCGAACCCAGGTCTCTCGGGACCGCAGGCCGATGCTCTAACCGCTGAACCAAACTGGCCAGGGCTTCTTTTTTTTTTTTAGATAGGTTAGGGAGAGAGAGAGAGAGAGAGAGAGAGAGAGAGACATTGATGTGAGAGACACATTGATTAGTTGCCTCCCTCATGACCCCAACTGGGACTGGACATTGAACCTGCAACCCAGGTACGTGCCTTTGACTGAGAATGGAACCTTCAGTCCACAGGCTGATGTTCTAACCACTGACAAGCCAGGGCTAAAGCTGACTTTTTTTTAAATTATTTTTTTATCCTCACCCGAGGACATTTTTGCATTTATCCTCAAACAGAGCAGGAGGGAGAGAGAGAAACATCGATGTGAGAGAGACACACATTGGTTGCCACCCACCCGACCCCAACCAGGGCACGGAACAAACTACAACCGAGGTATGCGCCCCCAGCAGGAACTGAACCCGGTCTCTCTGGTCCGTGGGCGACGCTCCAACCACTGAGCCAAACCGGCCAGGGCTAAAGCTGACTTTTTTTTTTTTTTAATCCTCACCTGAGGACATTTTTCCATTTTTTGTTCAGATAGAGTGGGAGGGAGAGAGAGAGAGAGAAAAACATTGATGTGAAAGGGACACATCGAGTGGTTGCCACCCACACGACCAACCAGGGCTGGGGACAAACTGCAACTGAAGTACACGCCCTTAGTGGGAACCAAACCCAGGTCTCTCTGGACCGCAGGCCAACGCTCTAACCGCTGAGCCAAACTGGCCATGGCTAAAGCTGACTTTTGAAGTCAGTGATGGTGTAACTAAAACACACGACTTAAATAAAACAAGGAAAGTGTTTAAGAGTCTGAAATCTGAATGTTTTAGGCTATCCAATCTATCATGCTTTTCCTTCCTGTACTTCTACCTAAAGAGGTCATGGGAGAGCCTTCTGTGTGTCAGGGAAAAAAAAGAAAAGAAAAGAAAAAAAAAAAAGGCCTTAAATAAAAGTAAATCCTTAGGAGAAATATTGCTAAAACTTGTGACTAAAGGGTTAAAATTTTTGATGTATAAAAAGCTTTATTTGCCCTGGCCAGTTTGGCTCAGCGGTTAGAGTGTTGGCCCTCGGACCAGAGTCCTGGGTTTGGTTCCTGCTAAGGGCACGTACCTTGGTTGCGGTTTGTCCCCGGCCCCTATTGGGGTTGTGTGGGTGGCAAACAGTTGATGTGTGTCTCTCACATCGATGTTTCTCTCACTTTCTTCCTCCCTCTCTCTCTTCCTCTCTCCCTCCCTCTCTATCTGAAGATGAATGCAAAAATGTCCTCGGGTGAGGATTAAAAAAAAAAAGCTTTATTTTAAAAATATAAAGCTGCCAATAAGAAAATGGCCAAAGAAAAACCAGACGGTGGGTAAAGAAAAAAATGTTATAATGTTCAAACTCATTGAAATAAAAAACATGCCACTTTTTTTACCTATTGTTATTAGAAAAAATTTTTAATTTTTAATTCTCAATTGTGATAAGGATATAGTGTTATAGAAACTCTTATATTATTGGTGAGAGTATAATTTGATATAAACTTTCTGGAAATAATCTGGCAATATGTATCAAAAATCTTAAAAATGTTCATACCCTTTGAATTCTACTTCTAAAAATCTATTCTGAGAAAAAAAGAACTGTGGAAAATACCTATACATGCTTGTTTTACCATCATATACAATGATAGAAAGTTAGAAACAACTCTATCTGATTTTAGGGGACTAAGGTAAATTTTAATTCATTCATACAACTGAATAGTATGAAATTATCAAAATGATAAGTGAAGAGCTTTTAAAGCTTTTAAAATTTTATTTATTGATTTGAGAGAGAGGGGAAGGGAGAAAAAGAGAGAGAGAGAGAAACATTGATTTTTTTTGGGTTCCACTTACTTATGCATTTATTGGTTGCTTCTTGTATGTGTCCTGACCGGAAATTGAACCCACAACCATGGTGTATTGGGACAACGCTCTAACCAACTGAGCTATCCGGCCAGGGCTACAAAGAGCTTTTAAAAGAAATGGATCTCACAAAACTACAATGAGATACCAACAATACAAGCAATAACAAGTGTAGGAGAGGTTGTGAAGAAAAGAGAACCCTCATTCACTGCTGGTGGAAATGTAGACCGGTACAGCCCCTATGGAAAACAGTCTGGCAACTCCTCAAAAAATTAAGAATAGGGCTACCATATGACCCAGCAATCCCTCTTCTGGGTATATACCTGAAAGACTAAAAAATATGTATTCACAAAGATATATGCACCCCTATGTTCATTGCAGCATTATCCATGGTGGCCAAGACATAGAGACAACCGAAGTGTCCTGTGATAGAGGATTAAATAAAGAAGATGTGGTACATATACACAATGGAATACTACTCAGCCATAAGAAACAATGAAATACTGCCATTTGTGACAACATGGATGGACCTAGAGAATAGTATGCTAAGTGAAATAAGTCAGGCAGAAAAGGCGAAGAACCATATGATTTCATTCATGTGTGGGATATGAAACTAAAACTTGTGAACACAAACAGCAGTGTGCTGGTTGCCAGAGGGAAGGGGTGAGGGTGTGGTGGGGAAAGGGGACCTAATATATGGTGACTGAAGGTGATTTGACTTTGAGTGGTGGGCACACAATGCAATACACAGATCCTATAACATAGAAATAGAAACTCACACCTGAAACCAATATGATCATATTGACCAATGTTACCCCAATAAATTAATTTTTTTAAATTGAAAAAAGAAATGAATCCCAGACAAGAAAAAGCTAAAGGGGTTAATCACCACCGAACTGGTATTACAAGAAATGTCAAAGGGACTTCTTTAAGAAGAAGAAAAATAGATAAAATAAAATAAACAATAAAATGGCAATAACTACATACCTATCAATAATTACTTTAGCCCTGGCTGGTTTTTCTCAGTGGTTAGAGCATTGGCCCGTGGACCAGACAGTCCTGGGTTTGGTTCCTGCTAAGGACACATGCCTCAGTTGCAGTTTGTCCCCAGCCCGTTAGGGTCATGTGGGTGGCAACCACTCGATGTGCCTCTCTCACATCGACCTTTCTCTCTCTCTTCCTCCCTCCTGCCCCATCTGAAGATAAATGCAAAAATGTCCTCGGGTGAGAATAAAAATTAAAATAATAATAATAATAATAATAATAATAATAATTACTTTAAATGTAAATGGATTAAATGTTCTAATCAAAAGACATAGGGTGGCTTAATGGAGAAGAAAACAAGTCCCATATATATGCTGTCTACAAGAGACACACTTCAGATCAAAAGACACACACAGACTGAAAATAAAGGGGCGGAAAAAGATATTTTGTGAAAATGGAAAACAAAACAAAAAATAAAATAAAATACTGGCGTAGCAATACTTATATCAGACAAAACAGACTTTAAAACAAAAAAACTATAACAAGAGACAAAGAGGGACAAACATTTCTTATGCAATAGTCAAGATATGGAAACAACTTAAGTGTCCATAGATATATGATTGGATAAGGAAGATGTGGTACATGTATACAATGGAATATTACTCAGCCATAAAAAGAATAAAATTTTGCCTGGCCGGTGTGACTCAGTAGTTGAGCCTCAATCCATGCACCAAGAGGTTGCCGGTTCAATTTCCAGTCAGGGCACAGCCCAGGTTGTGGGCCTGATCCCCAGTGGGGGCATGCAGGAGGCGGCCAATTGATGTTCTCTTTCATCGATGTCTCTCTTTCTCTCTCTCTCTCTCTCTCTGTTCCTCTCTCTCTAAAATCAATAAAGAAAAAATATTTTAAAAATTTAATTTACAGCCCTGACCGGTTTGGCTCAGCAGTTAGAGCGTCGGTCTGTGGTCCAGAGAGACCCAGGTTTGGTTCCCGCTAAGGGCATGTACCTCGGTTGCAGTTTGTCCCCGGCCCTGGTTGGGTTGTGTGGGAGGCAACCACGCGATGTGTTCATTTCACATCAATGTTTTTCTCTCTCTCTCTCTCTCCCTCCCACTCTATCTGAACAAAAAATAGGAAAAAATGTCCTCAAATGAGGATAAAAAAAAAAAAAAATTAATTTACAATGAAAGACTAGAAAGAAATATGCCAAATGTTCCAAGTGATTGCTTGGGACTGAAGAAAAATGGGGTGATTTTTCTGCAATTTTCTGATTTTCTGAAGAGAGCATTATTCCTTTATGATACTGAAAAAAAATGAACAAAGAACAGAAAACACTTTTGAGTTAAGTACCTTATGGCTCTTTTTTAGAAAAACTAAATTAACTTGCTTTAATAGGTGTGTGCATATCGTTGACCCTTGAAAATGGTCTTCGCATCCCCTGGGGACACTAGCTTGACTATTCATGGATCCTTACAAGGGGAGGCAGTGTGCCTCCAGTCCCCCCCACCCCCCACCCCAGAGAGCTGGGTGGGAGGGCCCCACTTACTGTTGTTTCAGTGGAGCTGCTGGACATCTTGGGTACCAGGCAGTGAGTGAACTGGATTCTCGGGTCTTTGGTGGTGATAGACAGACCTTTCTGCAGAATTTTTACCAAGCGGATCCAAAATTGAAACACAGTCTCTGGGTGCTTTTCGTGGAGCCTCAGGTAGTAGATCTTTTCAGTCACTGTCCTAATCCGCAGGATGCGCTGGAGCCGGTCACAGATTTGTAGCTCCACAAACTTCAGGGGGAGAATCCTGGACACAATCAGGAAATTCCCATAGTGGAGGAGCCCAGGATTTGAATCAATCAGCTGGTGTCTACCTAGAGCTTGGCTAACCTCACTGGGCTTCCACCTCTGCTTGGGTGACGCACGAGGGAGAGGGCTTGTGCTCTCAGAGTGGACTGATTACAAGGACAGACTCTTCTCTGATTTAGGGCCTTAGTTATTAAAGACTCTGCCCACATCAATAACAAAGTCTGATGACTGGTATAGACTATCTGTTTTAATCCTCATAACAACCCTTTGATGAAGGAAATATAAGTATTATTAATTCCATTTTACAGATTTTGAAACTGAGGCTTAGAGAAGCTAAGTGATTTGCCCAAGTTTAGATATTTAAAAAAGTTATTTTTAATTTATTGATTTTAGAGAGAGAGAAAAAAGGCAAGACTTTGCATTCTTTGATTGCTTTTTGTATGTGCCCTAACTGGGGATCAAACCTGCAACCTTGGGGTGTCAGGAAGACTCTAACCAACTGAGCTACCCAGCCAGGGCTAGCCAAGTTTAGATCTTTTTTTTATGTTAATCCTCACTAGAGTATATTTTTTCCACTGATTTTTAGAGAGAGTAGAAGGGAAGGAAGGAGGAAGGGAAAGAGAGGGAGAGAGAGACATCAATATGAGAGAGAGACTTTGAATGGTTGTCTCCCGCATGCACCCTGATGGGGGCCAGGAATTGAATGTGCAACCCAGGTATGTGCCTTGACCAGGAATCAAACCCACGACCCTTCAGTGAATAGGCTCATGCTCTAACCATGTAGTAACACTAGCCAGGGATTTCCTCCCCCCACCCCTTTATTGATTTTAGAGAGAGAGAAAGTGAGAGGGAGAGACAGAAACATCGATGAGAGAGAACAATGATTGGCCGCCTCCTGCATGCCCCTCATAGGGGATTGGGCCCACAATCTGGGCATGCGTCCTGACTGGGTATCTAACCTCTTCGTGCATGGGTTGATGCTCAAGCACTGAGCCATACCCACCAAACTTTTTAAAAAATTTATTTATTTATTTTTCAAGTTTAGATCTTAAGAAGGAATCAGGACTAAGGTTTTCTGACTCCATTTCCAGGTCCCCTTTGTTCTGTATCCTGATTAACTCTGTTGAAAGAGTAAGGAGGGCCCTGGACAATTTGGCTCAGTGGTTGAGTGTCGGCCTCTGGACCAGAGTAGTCCTGGGTTCGGTTCCCACTAGGGGTACATACCACAAAAAAAAAAAAAAAAAAAAAAAGAGTAAGGAGACATCCTGCACATCAGTATTTTTTTTCAAGCTCACATCTCATAATTCTATTTGACTTTCATACACTTCACCCCCCCTTTTTTTTAACCTCCCTAAGTCTATATTGACAAAGAAAGCCCAGATCATCAAAAACTAGGCTGACCCACAGCACCAAGCACAGTGCTTGGTCTATGTAGATGCTAAAAAATACTTGTTAAATGAATGAGTGAAGTTCTACATAGTTTGTGCACTAAGGAACACTGTCCTTTCTTTTAATTTTTAAATTTATCTTTATTGTTGAAAGTATTACAGATGTCCCTTCCTCCCCCCTCCACTGGCACCCTCCTCCCAGCTCCCACCTGTCCTTTCTTTTCATCTAAAGCCCGGCTGCAAAACAATGCAGTCTGTCATCCCACCCCTTCTGGCCCCTCCCTGAGGGCGACTCTTTACCTGCTGAGGGTGATGACTGGAGCACTGTCCGGTGTGTTCCCGGTGGAAAACTGACCCTGGGGCCAGGTGACATTGGCCATCAGGAGGATGTTGGGGAGTGGCAAAGAGGGCACAGAGGAGGTTACCCCAAGGATCATGGTGGTCGACCCTTCACAGACATTCATCCAGTCCCCCGGCTTAGTGACCTAGAAATCAGTCCCAGGTACTTGGGTCAGAGAAGCAGAAGACAAGAGTGGAAAGGATACAGGAGCTAGAAACAGCACAACTTAATGACAGCTTGGAGCACCCATGATTCTTACATGTGTGCGACACACTGGGCTGGGCCATGATCTGAGCACCCCTTATTGTGGCTCTCCCCAAATAGACCAGCTCATTGGCAATAAGAACGCGGTGTTGCCCTTCTTCATATCCTCTGTATCATCTAACTTTAGAAGGATGAACTAGTAAGAAAAAGCTGAGTGACACTAAAATGTTATTCTTCCATCCTCAGGTAAAAGAAGCTAGCACAGGTTTCCAATGGTCTGGAAGGAAGATTGTGCAAAGAAAGTTCCAGAAGGGGAAGAGAATGAGGAAAACCCCATGATGCTATAGGCACAAACAGGTGAACTTGAGACCCAGATTCTCTGGTGTCTCTAGCCAGAATGGCTTCTTTCTCCTCCCCAGAGCTTTGAAAGACCACAGAATTTCTGGACCAACCACTGGAAACAGGTTTTGGAAAAGGAAAGAGCTGACTCTGAGCTGCACCGTTACCTGGATAAAGTTGCTTTCAAACACCACAGATTTGGAGAACAAGTTGAATTCTGGAGAATGAATCAGTTGACAAAGAAGGCCATCTTCCACTCCAAGTTCTACTCCAGGGCCTGGTTCCCTGACCTCAGGAGGGAGGCCCCTAATTTTATTCATTGGTTCTTAGGAAGGATGGACTGGGGAACATCCCTGGGGCTCCACGCAGACCCGGCCCGACTCCAAGGTGTTGGGTGACCACTGCTCCCCGGCAGCCTCCACAGCTCCACCTCTGCTCCTGACCTGCAGGCTGTGCTCCAGGCCTGCAGGGCCTGCCTGCCGGCTCACAATGGCAGGAATGACATCAGGAATGCAGTGGCAACAACAGGAAAGGAAGAACAGAAGAGGAAAGGAAGAATTAGGGAGGAGCGGGGCTTTTCTCTACTTTTTACTCACTACAAACCAGTAGTAATGCCCAGCTGGTGTGGCTCAGTGGTTGTACATCGACCTATGCACCAGGAGGTCGCCATTCCCAGTCAGGGCTCATGCCCAGGCTCGGGGCTCAGTCCCTGGTGGGGGATGTGCAAGAGACAGCCAATCGATGTTGATGTTTCTCATTCATTAATGTTTCTTCTTTCTCTCTTTCTCAAATAAACACATATTAAAAAAAAAAGTACGCATAACGAATGGACATGGACAACAAAGCCAGGGACGAGGTGGGGGGAATGGGGAGGAGGGTGTCAATGGGGTAAAAAAGGAGACATATCTGTAACAAAAATAAAATAGCCCTGGCCAGTTTGGCTCAGTGGTTAGAGCGTCAGCCTGCGGTCCAGAGAGACCCGGGTTCGGTTCCCACTAAGGGCGTGTATCTCGGTTGCAGTTTGTCCCCGGCCCTGGTTGGTCATGCAGGTGGCAGCCACTCGATGTGTCCCTTTCACGTCGATGCTTCTCTCCCTCTCTCTTCCTCACTCTCTCTCTCCCACTCTATCTGAAATGGAAAAATGTCCTCGAGTGAGGATTTAAAAAAATTAAAAAAAATAAAATAAAATAAATAGATAAATAAATAAATAAAAAACTATGCGGGGCCAGTGTGGCCTGGTGTGGCTCGGTGGATTGAGCGTCCTCCCATGGACTGAGAGGTCCTGGTTCAATTCCCAGTCAGGGCACATGTCCAGGTTTCCGGCTGGATCCCCAGTAGGAGCCATGCAGTAGGCAGCTGGTTGATGTATCTTTTTCACGGCAATGTTTCTATCTCTCTCCAAAAAAAATCAGTAAAAAAATTTAAAAAGAAAACTAGTAATAAAGAAGCCTATTTCATTTTCCCCCTAACCTCCCTGCAAACATGAGGCAACAGCAGTGAGCTGGCCAGAACAGCAGAAACCCACAGCCTTCGCTCCTCCCCCTCAGGGAAGCCCTTCACAAACTTGCTCTGTAAGTATAATTTGTGCCTGCATAAGAATTGCCTCAGGGGAGAAAGAGCTTATTATTGACGTATTTTGCTATACTGCATTTTGAAGAGTTATGAAAAAGAAAAAAATCATGATGTTGGAAAAGGGCTGCATACTAGAAATTGACCACCAATTAGTTCAGCGATATTGTCTAAGTCACTGAGTTTCTTCTGTAGTAAAAATGAAAAGCTGGCACCGGAGTTAATGCCCCAAGTTAATAATCAATAGCGATTTAAAATTCATACTTGGAATTTTCTAAATGTGCTCTACGTAAGCTCATCTCCATGTCCTTTCTCACTGATTGCTCTACGGGGAAACTCTTCCCTAACTTGACCACCTATTCATTTTTTAAAATTCAGATCATTGCCTTGGCCAGTGTGCCTCGGTTGAGCGTCGTCCTGTGCACTGAATGATCACTGGTTCAATTCCTGGTCAGGGCACATACCTGGGTTGCAGGTTGCTTGGGGTGCATACAGGACACAATGGATTGATATTTCTTTCTCTCTAAAATTAATAACAAAAAAATTGAGATCCCCTAAGAAGCTTTTCCTTAACTTCCACCTTCTGCCCACAAATAACTTTATGTACCCACTGTCCTATACACATTCTATCATAGAACCAGGAAATGTTATTTGTTTAAATGCTTCTCCCCCTACTGTTTTATGTACTTTATCTGAAATAGGTAGTGATGAGATCTTAGTCAATGCCTGGTACCAGTAGGTGCTGTAAGCAATGTATCAGGATAGGCCAAGTTATGCTGCAGTAACAAAAAACCCCAAACCTCAGTAGCTTAACACAACAAAGGTTTATTTCTCATTTATACCACATATTCATCAGGGATCAGTTGAGGGCTTTGCTCCATGGCATGCCTGCTCCTGGACCTACCCTAATGGAACAGTTCCATTTGGAGCATTGCTGGTCACTGCGGTGGAAGGAACAAGAGGGTTTTGAACCTAGAATTGACAAAGTCACTTCTACCCACACTCACTGGCCAGAACTAATTCATGGCCCCATCCAACCACAAAAGAGTCAGGAAGTGCAATTCTCTCATGTGCCTAGAAGGCCAGGGCAGAAATATTTGGAGAAAATTAATGACTACCACTAATGACCTGCTAGTCAATAATCATTCAGCTCACTATCCCTCCTGCAGGTGGAATACATTCACTAAGCCTCCTCCAAAGGAGGCAATCCAAGAATTCCATTTAGCCACAACATCAAGTTCAACTTCAAGAGTCTGAGCTGTCCAGCCAGTGTGGCTCAGTGGTTGAGCATCTACTCATGCACCAAGAAGTTGCCGGTTCGATTCCTGGTCAGGGCACATGCCCAGGTTGTGGGCCTGATCCCCAGAGGGGTGCATGCAGGAGGCAGCCAACTGACGTTCTCTCTCATCGATATTTCTGTCTCTCCCTTCCTCTCTCTCTAAAATCAATAAAGAAAAAAATTTTTTAAATAAAAAAAGAATCTGAGTGATGCACAATAGTTTCTAGTCCAGTTTCAGATGTGGCTTGAGATGGAGATCTACAAACTAAAAAGATAAACCACGTGTCCCCCACATCTAGTATATAATGCTGGAATCCCCAGGGACAGGATAAATGCAATAAGGGGAAAGGGGGAAGAATGGGAAACATAGCAGCCCAGTGATCATGTTCCACTGAGCAGATGTGATGAAGGCAAAGGAAATTCCCTTGATTAGGGCCCCCTTCTGAGTCCTGGGAGTGCATCCTTAGGCAACTGCTGTTTTAAGCTACTGAAATTTTAGGGTTGTTGCTACAACAAAACCTAACCTAATGTGTCCTTGACTGGTACAGAGATTGGAACCTAGGGGGCAGTGTTGCAATAAAAAACAAACAAACAAACAAACAAACAAACAAACAAACAAAACACAAATCGTGGTATGTGTGACTAACTTATTTGGAAGACAGCAAAGAGATCTTATTGGAAACTGGAAGTTTGGCAACCCATGTGATACAGTAGCAATTTGGTAAAACTGTTGCCTGCAGTCATTTATAAGACATACCTTAATCTAATTTATCTAAAAAATTAGGAGAGTCAGGGAACAGTTTTAGGAGCTTGAACGGAATACTGTTGGTTGCTATTCATAAAGCACCACAAGATAAGTTAAGAGAAAAACTGGCTAGCTTGCAAGCAGGCGAGAGATCTAGAGACTACAGAAAATCAGTGCGCTTGCAGGGTTCACAGAAGCAACTGCTTTTCATCCATAACTGGTAATATATCAAATTGAGAAATGTTTGGGATGACAAACACCAACGAGCTTTTGTAAGTAGAGTGACTTTTCTGGTTTGCCCAGAAGTGTCCCAGTTTTAGCCCAAGTCCTGCATCCCAGAAAATCCCCCTGGCTAGGCAAACAGGAAAAACGATTTGCAGGAAAAATTAAAACATCTGTTGTTGAAACCTCCAAGATTACTTTATTTTAATTATTTTTGTTACAGATTCCCCCCCCCACACACACACACCCTCCTCCCTATACCGCCCCCAACCAAGCATTGTTGGCTACGTCCTTTGGTTACACATACATGCATATAAATTCTTTGGTTTATCTCATCACCCCCCACAAGGCCTCTTCCTCCAAGATTATTGTAGAGCAGCGATTATCAACCGACATGCAATACCCCCAAAAGGGGGCATCTGTAATACTTTCAACAATAAAAAATAAAACATGCAATACCTATTTAGTCAGGGGCACTGAACTCTTTTCCCTTATTGTCAAAAAAAATGACAGCACCCAACACAACAGTCATCTGGTGTGAATGAATCAAAATTCTATTTTTTTGTCAGACTGGCAAAGAAATATGTTTTGGTGTGCCTCAGAATTTTAGTAGTTTATATGTAGTATGAAATGAAAAAGGTTGAATAATTTGTGTGTTAGAGCAAAGGCCTCATTAAGGTTGTGGTACCCAGTAAACCATTTCAACTAAACTGCTTGGGAGAGACTTAAGGTGCAGCTCTCCAGCTGACAGTTCGAAATACAGTGATACCTCGGTTCTCGAACGCCTCGGTTTTCGACCAAATGGGGATTCGAGAAACTTTTGTCTCGGAATCCGAACAAATATTTGGAACTCGAACTTCCGAGATGAGCCGAATGGCGTTCATTCGGCCCAGCGCGCCTTGCTTGCGTCATCAGTGTGAGTGCAGAGAGAGTCACGCTTTGTGGAGTCACGCTTTCCTATTGGTTTCATTGCTTCGGTTCTCGAACAATTCGGTTCTCGACCGTCCTCCTGGAACGAATTATGTTCGAGAACCGAGGTATCACTGTACCTCAAATTAGAGGCATCTGAATGAGAAAATATATCAAATTTAAGAAATACGTCTACAAAGACAGCCACTGGCATGTGAAACTGCCTGAAATCAGACATAAAGTACCAACCATGTGTTTAAAATTTTTTTCTTTATTGATTTTAGAGAGAGGAGAGAGATAAAAACATCAATGAGAGAGAACATAGATTGGCCGCCTCCTGCATGTCCCCCACCGGGGATTTGGCCCACAACCTGGGCATGTGCCCTGACCGGGACCAGGAATCGAACCTGTGACTTCTTGGTGCTTGGGTCGACTCTCAACCACTGAGCCACACCAGCCAGACCCAACCATGTGTTTGTTTGTTTATTTATTTATTTATTAGTGGTATGTGCCCATAGCGGGAACCTAACCCGGAACTCTGGTCCGCAGGCCGACGGTCAACCACGGAGCCAAACTGCCACAGCCCAACCATGTGTTTAAATACTATGCTACCAAAAGCTGAATCATATAAGCCCAGCCAATCACAAAGGACCAGGGACTGGAAGGTTGGAGGTTGGAAATACTTGACCATCACTAATGACCACCACAGTACAATAAAGATGGCTTCTAGGGTAGTGGTACTTAAGCTTAAGAACACTCAGGGAGGCCCAGCCAACGTGGCTCAGTGGTTGAGCGCCGAACCACTCATCAAGAGGTTGCTGGTTCAATACCCACTCAAGCCAATTGATGTTTCTCTCTCTTCCTCTCCCTTTCTCTCTAAACATCAATTAAAAAAAAAAGATAAAAAGTCAAGACATGGGAGCCAGCTCTCATCTAGCTAGAGCCCACCCATGCCTTGTATCTTGACTGTTCTCCTAATCTCTAAGGGACCTTATTAGCCTTGCAACCACGGGAGCAGCAGGCAGTGGCAGCTCTTCCTGGGTTACCCCCCCCCCCCCCGAACTTGTTTCCAAGGCCCTCTTTTTCTCTCTGTTGCTTCTACCTTAAACCCTTTGTTTCACTGTCCTCAGCTTGAATAAACATACTTTCAAAAACAAATAAAGAACAGTCAGGGAACAAAACTGGTTTGGCATAGGACACCATGCTCCCTTTTAACCTTTTGGCAAAAGTAAATCCAACTAGCCCTGGCCGGTTTGGCTCAGCGGTTAGAGCGTTGGCCTGCGGTCTGGAGAGACCCGGGTTCGGTGCCCTGAGTGGTTCCCGCTCAGGGCACGTACCTTGGTTGCAGTTTGTCCCTGGCCCTGATTGGGTCATGTGGGTGGCGACCACTCGATGTGTCCCTTTCACGTCGATGTTTCTCTCTCTCTCCCTCCCTCCCACTCTATCTGAACAAAATATCGAAAAATGATAAAAAAAAAAGTAAATCAAATTCACCATATATAAATTGACATGCACACCAAGATGAGAGTGAAAATAGATATACTATAGACATACCTCATTTTATTGTACTTCGCAGATGTTTTTATCAACATCGAGACAAGACCCTCTAACAACAAAAAGATTATTACTCACTAAAGGCCCAGATAATGGCTAGCATTTTTTTTAACAATACAGTCTTTAAGATATATACATCGCTTTTTAGACATAATGCTATTACACTTAATAGACTACATACAGCATAGTGTAAACATAACTTTTATATGCACTGGGAAACCAAAAATTTCATGTTTGACGCTTTAATGTGGTAGTCTGGAATGATCATTTTTCTTTTCTTTAGAGATGGATAGTCAAGAGAGGACTATAATAGTCTCGGCCTAAGCTCAGAAAAATGGATCCAGACAGGCAAGACCCAACTGCCCCTGTTTCCAAATTCAGATTCATGTACCTTGTTTTAAACAAATTGTTTTAAGCACTTTTTTGCTCCAAAGTTTTAAGATGTTAAACCTCAGATCTATGAATTAAGACCCTTCCCTCACCACTAATTTCAAGGGCAGAAGTCAACATGACACATAGTGGAAATATGTATTCAACTTTATTTCATTAGAAAAATTGACTTAACACCCTGGCCGGTATGGCTCAGCAGAACCTTGGCCTGTGGACCAACGAGTCTCGAGTTTGATTCTGGCCAAGGGCACGTACCTTGGTTGTGGTTGGTTCATCCCTGGCCCTGGTCAGAGTTGTGCGGGAGACAACAAGCCGACGTGTCCCTCTCACGTCGATGTCTCTCTCTCCCCCTCTCTGAAGATAAATAGAAAGATATCCTCAGGTTGAGGATTAAAGAAAAAGAAAAACATTCACATAAGCCACATGGTGGCTATAATGCCTATGTACTGAGCAGGCTTTGTTTTCCCACTGTTCCCTTCAGGCCAATACACACTAGGTTGGAGGAAGGACTTAAAAATGTAAAACAAGCCCTGGCCGGTTTGGCTCAGCGGTTAGAGCGTCGGCCTGAGGTCTGGAGAGACCCGGGTTCGGTTCCCGGTAAGGGCGCGTACCTCGGTTGCAGTTTGTCCCCGGCCCTGGTCGGTTGTGTGGGTGGCAGCCACTCGATGTGTCCCTTTCACGTCGATGTTTCTCTCTCTTTCTGTTCCTCTCTCTCCCTCCCACTCTACCTGAACAAAAAAATGGAAAAATGTCCTCGGGTGAGGATAAAAAAAAAAAAAAAAAAGTAAAACAATGAGAACTGGACATTGAACAATTCACCTTCCCCCTCCCTACTGCTAACTCCCATCTCCTTCAATGTTACCTCCACACAGAGGAGCTGACATGAAAGAGAAGCTGACCAAATAAATTGATCATAAGCCACCCAAGTCCAAAGGAACTCTTGGCAGATGTTTAGGAAGTAGGACTGAAAACACCATCATCTCCCAACAGCTGAAGTTGCAGCACAAGAGCTGTTCTCCAAGGACAACAGAGCATACAGCAGACTCCAGTGAAATCACTCCATCCCATCGCCACAGGCAACACTCACACCTGCCTATTAAACAGGCTCTTTTTCCAGGGCATGAAGCATCCAGATTGAAGGGGCCCTTCAAGGGCCTAGTAACAGTTCTGTTGACACTGATGCTGAGCTTGCCTGCCCAGAAACTAGGACACCTGGTTGGACAGGTTTGGGCCAGTGTTCCAAGGTTACAGCTGATGTAGGGGGGTCTTATCACACCCCTCTGGATGGATGTTCTGGAAGGCTCTTGGGGGTTCTGTGCTGGCTAGATGACCTCTGGTGGTCCAGGAGCTCCCTGGTGATGGGTTCCCCAGTAAGCCCCCCAGCGACTCCATCAGTCTAACAAAGATGGAAAGTAGGGTCAGCACCACACCTAAGAGATAGAGGTTCAACACATGCTTCATAGCTGAAAAGATCCCACTCCTTTGTAGAGCAGTAGAGCTGCCTTCCTCCTCTGGAAGGCCTCTGTCTCCTGAGGAAAGAGAAGCAAAGTCAGTCTAGAGCCTTTTGGGATATGCGTGCATCTGGCCCTGACCCTTCTCCTTTCCCATGGGGCTATGGGAGAGGCCCAGCCAGCCAGCGATACAGGGACCCACGGATGTTTTTCCAAAGAAGCTCAAGCATATTTAGACTGTAAACTCCATGGCTGAGGAGCCAGTCTTGCTTCTCTTTTCATGAGCATTCCTTAAAACTTTCACTTCTTTTTAAAGTAAAAACCTTTATCCCTGGCCGGTTTGGCTCAGCTGTTGGAGCGTTGGCCTGTGGACCAGAGTCCCAGGTTTGGTTCCTGCTAAGGGCACGTACCTTGGCTGCAGTTTGTCTCCGGCCCTGGTTGGGTCGAGTGGGTGGCAACCACTAGATGTGTCTCTCTCACATGGATGTCTCTCTCTCTTTCTCCTCTTTCCCTCCTGCTCTATCTGAAGATAAATGCAAAAATGTCCTCTGGTGAGGATTAAAAAATAAATAAAGTAAAAACCTTTATTTCTCCTGCCAGGTGCCACAGTCCAGGGACCAGAAACCTTCCTGAAGAAAGAACCCAGTCCTTTTGTAGGGAAGGGGGGGGGGGGGAGGCAGGACTATAAGAATATGCCCTTGAGAAAGCAACTTGCCTGGGAAGTCTCCCTCACATCTCATTAAGGTTCGGGTTAATCATAAACTTTTTGAAGGTCAAAATAATTCTAAGGGAGTCAAATCTATAAAGTTCACTTAGTAACAAATATACTCCGATACCCACAGTGTGTTAAGCACCCCGCAAGGCACTACAGCTACCCGGGCCCAGCCCTCGAGGAGCTTACAGTCTAGGGGCGACAGGCAAGAACACAGGCAGTTGCAGAGAAGGAGATGCCAGGAGCGCTCTGGGAGGGCATGGCATGGACGCCTAACTTAGCACCGGGGAGCATGGAGTGGGCCACGTGAAGGAAGCAGGGCTGGGGAGGCTGAGTGGGGACCGGGTGGGGGCAGAGCGAGGAGGGAAGCTCCAGAAGGCTTAGCCACAGCCCGGGGAAAGGAGACCGCGGACCCGGCACGCAGGCCGCATGATGGGGGCAGGGAGCTGGGGAAGCCCAGAGGGCCGCTCACCTCCAGGAGGAAGGGCCGGGAGTGGCCGGCTCGCTGTAACAGCAGTTCAGGCAGGAGTCGGGAGGAATGTCGGCCAACGAGAGCGCTAAGTTGCAACCCAGACAAACCTTGGAAGACAAAGGCGCAGTCAGCAGCAAGAGGCAGAGGAAGGCCACCGCACCACTCACTTATAGCCGCTCTCCAGCCTGAGTCCGCGCACGCGCACTCGGGCCCGCACGCAGCGCTCTGCCGCACGTCGCTCGTCCGCGGCCCCGCCCCCGACGGCGGTGGGCGGTCTGGGGCGGTCCTGTGGGCTGTGGCTGGGATAGTCCTGTGGGTGCCGGTCTGGGTTGTTTCAAAAATACGCACCATGTGTCTCTGAGTCAGTGAGATTGGCTGTGACAGGCATGTGTGTGTGTTCGACTGCTTTTCCTGCTGCAGGAAACTTTGGAAGGGGTCAGAAAGTTCATTCCCCCAAACCCCGTGCCAAATCCGTGGAAAACACACCTGACATGCCCCAACCCAAGGGTCCTTATATTCGATGAGTTGAAGTAGGGGCAGTTGAGGATGGGTTCTTGACTGGCAGAGGGCACCTCCAACCCCCAGTTTTCTCTATTTTGGAGACTAAAGAGCTGAATATCTTTCTTTTCTTTTTTTTTTTTATCCTCACCCGAGGACATCTTTTCTATTTTTTGTTCAGATAGAGTGTGGGAGGGAGAGAGAGAGAGAGAAACATCGACGTGAAAGGGACACGTCGAGTGGTTGCCACCCACACGACCCAACCAGGGCCGGGGACAAACTGCAACCGAGGTACATGCCCTTTGCGGGAACCGAACCCGGGTCTCTCAGGACTGCAGGCAGACGCTAAAGAGCTGAATTTCTAGGAGTTTCACTTCCTAGAAATAAAATTCCAGATGCCATCCCCACCCTTCATTTCAAATCCTGAGATTAACTAATTCTGATACCTATGAGAGTTTGTCACATTGTTGAAGGAAATGTGAACTACTCATCTAGCCCTGTGTCCCTGTCTCACTGCATATGCACATGACCGTCACTTTGCACTCAGTGGGCCTCAATTTCTTCATCTAAAATGTGGCCATAATGTTACAGAATAGTACCAAGCTAGGAAAATTCCAGGACAAGTGGAATAGGGAAACGAAGACACACAGTTAAAACAAAAGTTTGGTCCTGGCCGGTTTGGCTCAGCGGTTGGAGCGTGGGCCTGTGGTCCAGAGAGAACCTGGTTCCGTTCCCACTAAGGGCGCGTTACCTCCGTTGCAGTTTGTCCCCAGCCCTGGTTGGTTGTGCGGGTGGCAGCCACTTGATGTGTCCCTTTCATGTCAATGTTTCTCACTCTCTCTTCCTCTCTCTCCCTCCCACTCTATCTGAACAAAAAGAAAAATGTCCTTGGGTGAGGATAAAAAAAACAAAACACTTTGCAGCCTCCTAGTAAATCCCATCTTCCCTAAATCAACGGCATTTAAGATTAAATGGTTTGCACTTCTTTTCTCCAACCAGAGGGTAAATACCTTAAATCACACTACTCTGGGAGGCAGATAACAGAGATCCAATTAGTGCTATTTGCCAACCACATCCAGGACAGACAGATTAAGAGAATAAATCTCATTCTGGTACATCAGCATAGAGCTGATATTTTCTATTGATCCTCCCTAAGATTTACCCTAAACGCCCAGCCTTTAAAACCCCTGAAAATGAAGGTCCCAGCATGCTCTCCCTCCAGGGAGCACAACCTTGCCATTCCTTTCCCCCTCTCCTTCCTGTCCTAAACTCCAAGGGATCCCATGTCACTTGCAACCAGGGGAGCAATGGGCAGCAGCAGCTTGTCCCTGGCTAACCCCCTGAACCTGTCTACAAGGCCCCCTTTTCTCTGACTTCCAGTGAGCCAAGGCAGCCCAGGCAGTCCAGCCTCGGCTCTCCTGCTACATTTCACTTTCCTAAGTCTCAAAAATGTTTTTTCTTTATTGATTTTAGAGAGTGAGGAAGAGAGAGATAGAATTATTGAGAGAGAGAACACTGGGGATTTGGCCCACAACCTGGGCATGTGCCCTGACTGGGAATCAAACCAGTGACCTCTTGGCGCATGGGTCAATGCTTAACCACTGAGCCATACTGGCCAGGCTCCTACATTTTTTAAAAATATGTTTTCATTGATTTTTTAGAGAAAGAGGAAGGGAGAGAGAGAAACATCAATTGGCCGCCTCCTGCATGCCCCCTACCAATGGGGCATGTGCTCTGACTGGGACTTGAACTGGGACTTCTTAGTTCATAAGCCAACACTCAATCCACTGAGCTACACCGGCCAGGTTTGCTGTAGTCAATCAAGGCTTGCTTTTCTACACTTTGTCTCTTTATTGAAATCTTTCCTTCGCCCTGGCCGGTTTGGCTCAGCGGTTAGAGAGTCAGCCTGCGGTCCAGAGAGACCTGGGTTCGGTTCCCGCTAAGGGCACGTACCTCAGTTGCAGTTTGTCCCCAGCCCTGGTTGGTCCTGAGGGTGGCAGCCACTCGATGTGTCCCTTTCACGTCGATGTTTCTCTCTCTCTTCCTCTCCCTCCCTCTCTATCTGAACAAAAAAATGGGAAAATGTCCTCGGGTGAGGATAAAAAAAATTATAAAAATAAAGAAATCTTTCCTTCAAGAAGATAAGAACTGAGGTCTCTTCATCTCACTGGTAACAATAGGAGATTTTAAAGAATGCCTTCAGGTTGAACCAAAGAGCTAGGATGTCCCAGTCTAGCCTTATGCCTAGATTAGGGGGCTGGGAAGCTTTACTAAACTCTTCCCTCCTGCCCAATTGGTGTGGCTCACTGATTGAGCATCGACCCATGCACCAAGAGGTCGCTGGTTCCATTTCTGGTCAGGGCATATGCCCAGGTTGTGGGCCCAATCCTCAGTGGGGCCCATATAGGAGGCAGCCAATCGATGTTCTCTCTCATCAGTGTTTCTATCTCTTTCTCTCTAAAATCAATAAAGAAAATAAAAAAAAATAAATAAACACTTCCCTCCCAATCCCCCAAACTATAGACATTTCTTTGTGAATGCACCTAATGGCAAATTTCAGAAAGTAGAGTCCTGGGGAGACCCTGGGAATAGGGACGCCCCCGAAAGGAACATCCAAGCCACCGTGGAAGGGAAGACTGACGATGGTTTCACTATCTGCCTCCTAGAGAGGAGGGGGAGAAGGCCAAAGCTCTAGGGCAGACGACTCTTGGCAGGTCCGCTGAGCTCTAGGACCGGCGGTTCTGTGTGCCAGGGTAAGTGCCGGGCCTGGATAAGCCAGAACTCCGGATATCACTGGGCTCTGTGTGCTCTGATGAAAAGGGACTGAAAGGCAGGAAGGGAGGAGCCAAATCCTAACTGCGCCCTTTCCCCTACTTTCTGGGCTCTCAGTCATCTGTCAGAGGGGGTTGGGAGGCCGGGGAAAAGAGAAAGCTGGGGTTAGAAACGTGTTGGCAGGCAGGCAGGCAGGAAGTCACTTTGAAATTAATTTTTCTACTCAGCCCGAAGGAATTTTTGATTCTTTATTACAATAAATTTTTGTCTGTTTTTGTGCTTGACTCAGTGACTCTTTTTTTCACACTGTTATTAGGAGAGGCTCTAGCTCTGAAATCACTTCTGGGTGTCCCAAATGCCACCACTTGCTTAGCTGGGGGACTTAGGCCAGTCCTTTAACCTTTCTGTTCTTTGGTTTCCTCAACTGATGTATGGGGTAATAATAGTCCTTACCTGGCAATTAAATGAGTTAATCCACATAAAGCTCTGAGAACACTGCCTGACACATAGAAAACAGTCCATAGCCCTGGCCAGTTTGGCTCAATGGTTAGAGCATCGGCCTGCGGTCCAGAGAGACCTGGTTGCAGTTTGTCCCCAGCCCTGGTTGATTGTGCGGGTGGCAGCCACTTGATGTGTTCCTTTCACGTCGATGTTTCTCTCTCTCTCTCTCTCTCTCTTCCTCTCTTCCTCTCTCTCCCTCCCGCTCTATCTGAACAAAAAATGGAAAAATGTCCTCGGGTGAGGATAAAAAAAGAAAAAGAAAACAGTCCATAAGTGTTATTATCCGTATCATCGACTACAAAACTCCCAGTGAGGGACTTTGCTTGTAGTAGCCTTGTTCAGTGAGTGAACACAGGAATTCCACAATAACCCTTTGTTACTGTGCTTCCTATAGGGAGCTGTAGAGGAAGTCACTGTGGAGATTTAATATGGCTCCAGCAGTAAAGGTGTCTGGGAAATGTTGGGTCTCTGCTTAACTTTCTGTGACCATTTAACTTTCTGTAGCCTCAGGTTTAGCTGACTAACCAGAAAGCCAGAACGCAGTCCCAGGGAGGATTTTTTATTTTATCCTCACGTGAGGACATTTTTCGATATTTTGTTCAGATAGAGTGGGAGGAAGCGAGAGGGAGAGAGAGAGAGAGAGAAAAACATCGACGTGAAAGGGACACATCGAGTGGTCACCACCTACACGACCCAACCCGGGCTGGGGACAAACTGCAACCGAGGTACGTGTCCTTAGTGGGAACCAAACCCGGGTCTCTCCAGACCGCGGGCCAACACTCTAACCGCTGAGCTAAACCGGCCAGGGCCCAGGGAGGATGTTAATGAATGTGTAGAGTGTGGACAAATACCTGATGTTATCTGTTAACTTAAAAATGCATTGCTTTCTGGTGGTCTACATGACTACCCACAGTATGGTTTTACTATTAACCTTTTATAAAAAAAAAAAAGACTGGCCTGGCCAATGTGGCTCAGTTGATTAAGCATCTTCCCATGGACCAAGAGGTATGGGTTCAATTTCTAATGAGGGCACATGCCTGGGTTTCAGGCTCGATCCTGGATGGTGTAGGAGGCAGCCAATCAAAGTTTCTCTCTCATTAATATTTCCATCTCTCTCTCCCTTTCCCTTCTCTCTCTAAAAAAAAAGGAGAGAGAGAGAGACTGTCCTGGGATGGGGTGGATCTCTTCCTGGCCAGCCACCACTAGAAGCAAGTAGCTTTGTTACCTGTGTATGTAAGTTTCTCCTACTAAAACTCTTATGAATTTGAATAAGGCCACGTGTCAGTTCTTCAAAATGGATCCTGAATTTAGACCTTTGGGGCTTTCCCACAACATGAGTTATAATGTTTTTTTAATCATCACCCAAGGATATTTTTCCACTGATTTTTAGATACAGTGGAAGGGAGGGAAAGAGAAA